GTGACATAATAACTGGATATACCATTTCACACGACATCAAGCTTTAGTACAGTTAATGCTATTTTTTACAATAATATTTTGAAATAGTTGTTAAAAGTTGCCTTTTTAATCATGGTCGATATGGTTATCTATATATAGTAGATATATAAAATTTCAAATGTCATCTTATGATTAACATTAATAAATATATCCAAATTACTATAAAGTAATATAAAGTAAGGCTATATTCACATATTACGTTTGCACTTGGGGGAGGGGGTCGGCCAAAGCAAACTTTTGCGAACGAGGGGGAGGGGGTGTAGCGACCCGGAAACGTTCACATTTAAATAATTTAAGGCATTTATTTGTTCTCAAAGTTAGGCTTTTGATAACAAATTTTGAGTAGATATATGACTTTTGAATAGAAATAGTTTATTTGGGGTGAATACATTTTCAAAAAATTCATGACATAATGAAATGAAATTTTCAAGAAATAATTATCATTTTAAAAATGTGTTTAAAATTCTATTAAAGGAATTGAAAAATTGAAATGAAAAGCAAAGGAGTATTACTGTTAGTGAAATAGTGAGCGCTATCTGTCCATTGGATTACTCTTCAAACACTGGTTTACGTGACTGTTTGTGACCTTAAATTAGGATTATTTACACATAAATAACGCTCACAAATGGATTCATCTTTACTTCCCTTAAGTTTGTGTCAAAACTCAATATTCATAATTCAAAGTCCATTTCTAAACGCAAACCCCGACTGAAAAACATGACATCATTTATGGCTCATATCTAAAGGCAAACACAAAACTTGTGATAATATGTGAATAAAAACACATTTCATTTAAAGGGACAACACTTTAGTCTCTAATCAATTCATATAAATATCATTTAAATCTCATTTAATCCCATATTTTAAGCCCAAATCATTTGTAACACAATTTTAATTAACAATTTATTTATAGCTTTTTTATTTCGATAATAATTTTTAGATAATTTTTATAATTTATAAAATATTGTGATTTTAAAGTAATTATTCATATTTTACACCATTTTTGGGTAAATATATTGTTTTAAACCATAAACTGATTATTAATACACGTATTGATTGTTCACATCATATGTTTTGAATTGTCAGACAATATGTACGCAAACAACGGCTCGTTTTGCTCGTCGCAGGACTTCCCGAAGAATACCGTTTCTAGTCATCCGTATTATCCGAAACAACAAGTGATGGCCAACCCGTCGGTCACATCCAATGCCATCACTAATTATCCCTACATCTCATACAACCCGATGTCAGCGCAAACACCTCTTCAGTCCTTTCAATTCAATCCTTCCGTTCAACCCTTCAATCCTGTCCTCACATCAGCCGACTCTCGACCACAACCGACGGGTATTGTCTCAGACACTGACCACTCATCACATTTGACCACTAATTGAATCCCAATTTCAGATCTTTCGCCCTCTTCTTCTTCGGCGAGTTCTTTGAATGCAAACACTTTTGAACGAAAATGTGATGTCGTTTGCAGTGAAAGCAAATCCGAAGAACTGAAAGCAATTATGAGTTGTTTGGAAACAATGAAACAAAATAACGATAGCTTTCAGAAGAATATATTGAATGAATTGAAACAAATGAAAGAAGTGATGACAGGCTTGAAGACAGCCATCCATGAGCTGCCCATCAGATTCGCCGATTCGTTGACCCAATGCTTGGATGTGTTAAACAGTCGTTCGGATTGTCTTTCAGTGGACAGCGAGGCAGAGGTTGCGGACGTTTTCGACAAAATCGATATCAAAGAATGCATTGATTTGAGCGACAAAAGCGTCGATTCCGTGGACCCGAAGAGCGCCGCGACTCTCCAGAAGTTCATCTTTCCGTACGATTCGGAACTAGATATGAATAAATGGCTTAAAAAGGATTAAAAAATGAAAAATTTTCATTTTATTAAAACAACTATTCATTTATAAACAATTTATACAAATAGTTTAAAATATATATCTATAATAATAATAATAATATGAATAATAATATATAGAATGTTATAAGTTATCAAAATATTGGATCAATTGTCTCAATCCGAACATATAGTTCTCGTCGCGGCCCTTATGTGGGAACACATGAGCGAAATCAATCATTTTGACCAAAGCTTTACTTTGATTGCAGTCATAAGCGAAGAGCAAAGAGCTCGATATGAACTGCCATTTGTCCACATTATAGGTCTGAAACCATTCATCGATTTCTTTCATTTGTTGTTTGAATTGTGTAATTAAGGCCTTATTGTTTTGAACGAATAGTATTATTGCTAGAATTAACACAAAACAAACATTAATTAGCATTTGATTTAGTTTTGAATCCAATTTTTCTTCTATACATTGCATTATGAAAACATGTGCCGAAAACAAACCTTCATTTATATTGTCTGGCGTTAGACTAATACCGTAATCCTTGTCTTTAACTATATATTCGTTGTCTTTTGAGTTATAAATCTATTGTAAAGAAATTAATTCAATTTATATTACATATTATTATTACCTATATTTAGAGTTTATTTCTATATATTTATTATTATTGATTGAAAACCAAATAAATTATTCAAAACAAAATCCGAAAACATTTCATTATTGGCGCACAAAATACTAATTAATACTTAATTGGATTCTAATATTCAATGCAATAAATGTTATCAAAATGAGTGATTGGATTGAAAATGGTTTCTATATTTCATTCATTTCAATCAAATACTATACTTGTATTGAGAAATACACCATAAGTTGTAAACATATAAAACTCAGATACTATTCAAACAATTAAATCACACTTTCGGACAAAATGCCGGTTAAATGCCTATATTTGCCATTATTTTAGGCATTAATTGCATCTAATATTAATTGAATCTCAATTGAAACGCGATTTACATTGAATTGAGGCGTTTAGGGAAGCGATTGATTGCAAACAAATTGAGTTAACAGTGTTTGAGACAAACAATATGTTAGTAACTGTGAAGCCATTGTATGGCTCGGGAAACAACACAATGAGATGTTAGGGAAGTGTTAAATGGTGTACAAATGTGTAGACACACTCACTCTCATGCCTAAGATCCTGAATCCGAAGTGTTGTGCGAACAAGTATTTGGTGGTCTCGGAGTGGATCTTGCGTTCAGTGGCCTCCGGATCGAAAGTCTTGGCCCCGATCTTGATGTCCAAAATGGACGCGTTTTGCATACCATTCGTGATGTCTTCGAGTCTCAAATATTTGCGCGAAGTCTTCTCGTCGACGAAAATGCCGTTAATTTTGGGCACAAATTGTCTTAAGGTTTGGATGTCTTTATGGAAGTCTTGGTCCGAATCCCAGATCTTTGAATACAATCGGAATTCTCTTTCACTTCGTTTATCACAAATAGGTTTCAATATATCGTTGGACTCGAGATGTCTTAATAGCGCCAAATGGTTGGGCGAGTGTCCGAAGCGATGTCCGGCCACCTGATTGTCCAACGGATCCGTTCCCACCGGGAAGTGCTGGAAGTGGTCTTTGGAGTCGCCGTTCTCTCTCTCCACTATTGAGTGGTTTATAGCAAACACTATTCTATCGTTTATTCACTTTTTAAAGATTAAACTTTGAGATAAGAGTCGAAAAATGCCATTTGTTTTGTTTTGAAAACTTTCTAAACAATTAATATTTGTCATAATTAACTTACAAAATACATGTTTGTATAATAGCTATGATATTCAAACAAAATATCACAAAATTGTCTTTTGTATCAAATGAAAAGATATCAAAAGATTTTTAAGTTTGTATTTTAGACCATAAAAACGAGATAAGCTATGCGTTAACATTGGATTTGTAAAAATAAGAAAATGCAGACACATTCGCACATTTGTTATATTTTGTCTTTTTTACTAATAATTACAAATGTGAATAATTAATGGACTCTGAGAACCATTTTTTCGGAAAAGGTTGAAAATATGTTACCAATTGATTATGCATTCAAACAATTTGTATGCAAACTATTGTAAGATATAATCGTCGCTCTTCTCAATAAGACATTAAATGATTTATCGATAGTAAAGTGGTTTTCTGTTTGAAACAACAATTTTTATTTTTATTCGTAGAATTGAATGTTAAATCAAGTCTTGAAATAAATTCTGCCATAAATTCAATGATTAAGAAACTGGTCCTCAAAATTGTGATATTTGGTAATTTTGTCGCTAACTATGAAAAGATTAGCTTTAGTTCACTTGAGATCTTTGACCGGATATATGAATAATTGTGATAAATGTGGCGAATATTCAGTGATATGAAAGCAGTCGACAATACAGTGTCGGAGTAACCGTTGGGATAACAACCAAACCCTATGTATTTGAATGTCTGAATGACTTTAAATTGAATTTTGTTTTTGAAATATATTTTAAATTATTATTATATAATTTACATAATTTTGATTTGTTGCCATAAATTTATGGCTATAATCACTGCAAAACATATTAAATCATAATGATTAATTTATAGAGTATTCTTTTACTAAAAAGAATTTTAATAGTTTTATACTCGGGGTTAGTTTTTATGATTTAGAAATATAAAATATAATGGTTATTTACTTAAGATTAGTTTAGGTTTCTTAACATAATTAAAGAAATTCACAAAAAGTCAATGTTTTCCCAAATAATGATAACTATAGTAAACATTTACGACATTTGAGACAAATATAGTATTGAAATATATAAATAATTTAATTTATATACATTTTGAGATGAATTTATATAAGGATTTAATGAGAAAATTATACGTAAAACAAAACTAAAATTAACAA